TGATTAATACATGAATGCTGCATTTCTGTATGTTTATTTTAATTCGAAACACGTAATATATATCTCTGCATGTGGGTGTGTGCCTGGGACAATGCATGTGGTGGTGGTCAGGGGAATGTAGTTAGTATGTAATGTGGGGATGGGAATACGAGGCTATGAACCTCCATGATTAATTCGTGTAATCTTTATCTTTAACGCTTGACAAATACCTCAATATCTAGTTGATTTTGTTGCTCATAGCATATAACATATATCATATATGATTATAGAATCTGTCACACAATACAAAGATAATTACTGAAGTAATAAGAAAGCGCAAAATGTGTTGCATATTACAAAAGTAACAATAAATGAATAACAATATCATCACCATCATCAAGGGGACTGACGCCGACGGGGGCGCATAGCCGCATCCCTCATGGTTAGACGCCAGGCAGGGACTCGGCCCATCTCTATTTCTTCACGGCAGGTTTGGTCGATCTGCCCAAGCCACGACTTCCTCGGTCGTCCCACAGGCCTCCTCCACCCAGGGTTGTCTCAAATAGAGACGACCTGATGGGTAGGATCATCCTGAGGAAAGCGAGCCAGGTGGCCGTATAGCCTGAGTTTGCGATCACGGATTGTGCAGATAACAGGTCCTGTGCCAGTCTCACGGTGCAACCGTTGGTTGGACACATGGTCCCGCCAACAGTACCCCATGATCTGGCGCAAGGACCTATTACAAAAGGCTTCAAGTTGAGACTCCAAGGCACAGGACAATGTCCAGGTTTCGCTACCGTATAGCAAAACTGGCATTATCAGGGCCTTGAAAACCCGTAGCTTGGTCCTTCTGCACAGGTACCGACATCTCCAAATACTCTTGTTGAGAGAGCTCATGACCCCTGCTGCCAGGCCAATCCGTCTGCTGACTTCATGGTCTGACAGCCCAGAGTTATAAACTACACTACCAAGGTATGTAAAGCTCTCTGTGACTCCAATGTCCTCCGCAAGCACGTACCGACTGAACAGGTTCTCCTAACAAGTCCCCAAATTCCTGGACCTTGGTCTTGGTCCAGGAGACCTCTAGACCCAAGAGCTTCGCTTCATTGTTAAATGCATCGAGAGCCGCCACTAGGGTTTCCAAAGACTCAGATAGAATGGCAACGTCATCAGCAAAGTCAAGGTCTGTAACCTTGATATTGCCCAGCGTTGCTCCACAATGACTTTGAACAGTAGCTCTGCCCAGTATCCAGTCCATGCAAGTGTTGAAAAGAGTTGGTGTAAGGACACAGCCTTGCCTCACTCCTGAACTAACAGGAAAGAAGTTCGACAGGCCCCCACCACACTTTACAGCACTTTCAGTACCAGTATACAGGCTTGCTATTAGTCCAATAATCCTTGTTGGAATTCCTCTCAGCCTCATGATCTCCCAAAGTGACTCCCGATGCACCGTATCGAACGCCTTCTTGAGGTCGATGTAGGCTGCAAGCAGCTCACGCCCGAACTCACGGCGGCGCTCTACAATGACTCGAAGCGCGAAGATACGGTCTATTGTGGACTTACCAGGAGTGAATCCGGATTGCTCCAGTCTCTGGTGCCTCAGTAGGTGGTCTCTGATACGTCTCAGAAGGATGTGGGCGAGAACCTTGCCTGGTATACTGAGCAGTGTGATGCCTCGGTGATTGCTGCAGTCCCAACGGTCCCCCCTCCCCTTCCAGAGAGGGATGACCACACCCCTCAACAGGTCAGGAGGAACGGAACCGGAATGCCAGATGGCAGCCAGGACAGCATGTAACCCCCGTGCCATAGGTTCACCACCAGCCTTTAACAATATATTCATCGTTATTGTAATGGAGCGTCAGTTTATAGCGTTAACTCACCGTATTTCTTGTGATCCTTTTATTAACGATTGTAGTAGAGTTTAGGTTCATACAACAGATCCGATGTATTCTGCATAGATGATGCCACGATGACTCAACAAGTGGACGTTCCCTAACAAGGAACAAACAGCAGTTGCCTGTAGTTTACTCGTATTTGTGGTGTCTTTGTGACCTGTATATATATGGATATGTTTGTATTGCGGCATGAGTAAATAAGTTATATTTAGCTAAGTTACTGATTATGCAAATGATCTCATAAAATAATGAGCTTTTGTTACAAAATAAGGATTGTTTAAACTGGCACGGAGGAGGGTACGTCATCACAGGATTCATTAGAAAAAATTGATCTGTAGTTCGCGTACTGCCTAGAACTCGCCCCAAACCAGTCGAAAAGAATTTTTTCCGCTAACAGGGAACCAAATGGTATTATAATTTCTAAAAGACTTTAATTGCCCTGCTTTTGTTGTTGTTGTTTTTACTTCAGTGTCTTTTTCCACTTATATTTATATATTTCTTTATACACATATTTTAGTATTTTCTGTAGTTTACAAAGCGCTTTAAAAAATAGTTTAAAAGATAATTCCTTTGTTATATATAATAGTGATAAGTAACTCCAGTATTAATATTATTAAATATATTATATATATATATATATATTATATATATATATATATATATATATGTATGTATGTATGTATGTATATGTATAATATATATATATATATATATATATATATATATATATTATATATATATATATATAATATATATTATATACAGAGAGAGAGAGAGAAGAGAGAGACAGACAGACAGAGACTGACAGACAAAGAGAGAGAGAGAGGGAGATAGAGAACATGACACAAATAAATAGGTACATGTGCATACACATTAGTGTGTATATGTGTGTACCCATCCTGCAGCATTTAATAATCCTTCTCCGCCCCACCCCCGCCCTTCTCTTCTCATGCTCCCCTTCTCTCTCTCTTCTCTCTCTCTCTCTCTCTCTCTCTCTTCTCTCTCTCTCTCTCTCTCTCTCTCTCTCTCTCTCTCTCTCTCTCTCTCTCTCTCTCTCTCTCTCTACTTAGTTCTTCTCCTTTCTTCTCCTTCTTTCCTTTCATCTCCTTCTCCTGCT